AAAAGCTCACTTGAGCTTTCAGCTCAGGTGACCTAATAAGTCAACTGGTAAAAGTTTTTTTTTTTTTTCTTTTTTTTAAACTTGACTATTTTGGCAGAGGGCTAATTGCTCATGTAAACAATTAGCCTTGAGGTATTAAAGAGTATACAATATACAAATAATCATAATTTGTTCTTTTTGTCTAAGTCATATCAATTACCGGGTACCTGACATATTGTGAACTATGGCACCACTTACATCGATCACCAAATTTCTTAATACTGATTTATAGCTGCTACTTGTTTGTGTTTTTTTCCCCTCATCAAAAGACTCTGGCTATATATAATGCTAGTGCAATGTTTCCTATGACACTTGCTCCAAGGATAAATCCTACGAAGCCTGGACTCTTCAAGAACTCTCCTGCAACACAAAAAATATAAATGTTACTTATCTTCTCACTGTTGCAAAAAATTGTATGATCCTCTCCCCATTCTGGTCGTGGTTGAATGAGAAAAGAATATCTTAAAGTTCATTAAAATATTAAACAATGCCAGTAAAGCACAGTTGGAAATGACCTTTACTGCAACCTTTTGATACCCAATGGAAGTTCACCTAACATTTATTGTATACTGTTGATTGCAACTGTAATCGAAACAGTTATTTTCATTGGTTTAACATGACGTCACACATTCCAGGCGTGATTATTCAAGATAATGATATGCAGTACTTTATGTGATCAAACATCCATGAGTAGGAGAGAGCTATGTGAGGACACTGGAACTTGGCTTGAGATTATGTAACGTTCTTCATTGAGCATCAATATAATTTAGAAAAGAGTAATATCAAAATAAGTTTTAACAGCTGGTAATAACTTTTAATGTTCAATTAAACTCTAACAAAGTCTCTCCCTTGTAATGATATAGAGGTCAAAATAATACCATTCTTTCATGTTGAAATCCTTTTGTCAAACATCTTAAACCTCTATTCAAAGACCCAATTTTTTTACCATACGGTTACCTGAGGAGAGGGAGTGGTCTTAGTTGTACTGGTGTTATTTACCTGGAGAGCTCCAATACTCAAGATGTCAAAAATCCCTATACACATTGTAGTACACAGGAAGTCTGTCTTTGGTAATCAGGATCAACATTCTGTGTTTTTGTTTAATTTTGAGAGAAACTATTATAAATAATTTTTATATTTTAATATAAAATTGGTTAAATCAATGTTTTCATCGTTATCTTTTGAAGGAAAAAAATTTATAAATATCAAAAAAGCACAAGTGAAAACTACAAAGCAATCATATCAATATTTTTTAATCGTCAGTAAAAGAAACCATCATTCAATAAGTGTAAATATTGAAATAAAGAGATTTCATTTATCGTGCGGACAATCCGGCATGTGCCATAACCAGAATATTATTTTATTTTTCTGGCCAACAATCATGTCCAAAGTATTCACCAATGCAATTTCCGGGGTCCGTGTTCACAGATCTGTTCACAGATTTGTATTGTTTGTAGACTTTTTTTTAAAAAAAGGATCGATCACTGTTCGTTATCTTCACCTTTTCCAATATACGAATATGAACAACGATTGTGACATTTCTTTCACTGAATGGTGTAGATTGATTACATACAAAGCGACCATGCGGTACATCAAAGCGTTTTGCGTGTGACCAGGTAATTGTTTCCAAAACATGCAAACTCAGATTATCAGACAGCACAGGTAGCTGGCCTGTCAATCAAATCAGTAGCTATTGTTTTTTCAATGATTGACAGGCGGTATATTATTGATCTCGAATTGGGTAAATTTTGGGGGCGTTAACATAAAATTGGGTGTTTAAAGACATAGAAGAGGCCCATAGGCCACAACGCTCACCTAAGTACGAGGGCTGTTCGGAAATTATTGAGACATTGTGTATATTCTTCTTTCTAATAAACGTCTTTCGGTAAAAATTTGCATATACGTTTGACAGACACTTAGAATTAATAAAAGCAAGAAATATATTACAAATATTTTATTTCTTCTTTTCAATGGTATATTAATGTGTCACTGGTAGGGGTACCCGGCGCAGTCACGAAATCAGTTATTGAAAATATGTAACACCAACGTTAAAACTCCCGGTAAACCTATAGTAAGAGCGAAAATAATTCAAATTATGTATATAATTTTTCAATTTAATTTTGTCTTCATTTTGTGCAAATTTTTAAGAATTTCGATCAGAAATACGGAGACCATTAAAAAATTTCAGCACGGTATAGAAATCTGACAACGACGACAAACTGGATTTTGACGTCAAGGCGGCGCAGCGAGCATACCGAAAATTTTGTGTCGCGCTATGGAGAACTCTTGTCCAGACTATACGACCTGGTAAAACAATAATAATGCCATAAAACATGTCTAAAAGTTTGTTTTTTCATTGTTTTTTCATTTATTCTTACAAATAATTCAACCAGAGTAAAAACAAAAGCTCCGTACGACCTTCAATTATTACGAACTAAATAATGTTGACCCGCGTTGCATAAATCGGTACTGCATGAGGCTAAGTCAACCTGTATATGACACTTCATTTATATTTTACACTGGGATATCAACAGCACACATTTTATTTTTTTTTAAAGAATCGTTTAAGAAAGAGACAGTTTGAATTTTGGAATGTTATATGTGATAACATAGAAGGAAAGGATAAACGCTTCCCAATCGTTTCACATGAGAAAACGTCTCCGGCTGACGTGACGTTAAAATGACGTAACGATTCTGCTCCAGGTCAATAAACATATGCATGATTATAACTTCACCGAACCTTATTTAATTATCCTATAAATTAGAAATTTTGCACATTTGTTTGATTTGTTCTTTATAAAATGTTGACGAATTTTCATGAAATTATCTGTGTCCTTTATGGAGTAAAAGTAAATGTCTCAATAATTTCCGAACAGCCCTCGTAACTTTAGCCCTGCTGGTCTTCAGCAGACTTTTAAAAAGATTTTCTTATTCCCATGAAAAATTGTGACCCCATGTGGCCCCAATCTAACTCTTAAAAGTCTCTAGAATCCATACACCATGGAGATGCTTCAGTATCAATATGAATAGCATGGTCCTGCAGTTATGGAGAAGAAAATTCTTTTCCTGTGTATATGCATTTTGCATATGCAAAATCAAAAACTGATCCATAGAATTATGTATCTTAGTACAATCTGCTTGTATGCCAAGTTATATCGAAGTCAGACCAAAACTGTAGGAGGAATAGCATTTTGAAAAATTTTTTACAGACAGATGAACACCTTACTATTGCATAAGCTCTTCTTTTCTCTGACCAGTAGAGCTAATAAAACAAGCCAATTGTTTACTTGACAGAACACTTACTTAGAGAGAAGCCTACTGACTGTTTTGTTGTGCTATCTACTGGACAGATTGATGTCTGCTGACTAGAATCACTGTCATCAGAATACTGCTCTGAGTTTTCAGTTTGTGACAGTTGCTTGGACTGGAACTTCCTAAGAACACTGGAGTTAATACTACTCTCGGTCAGCCTTGGGGCACTAAAGCTGGAGTTAGTAGTCGACATTGAGCCTCTCTTCTGTGATGACTGAGGTTGGAAAAAGTTTGTCATTTCTGCCTGCAGATGTGAACCTTGATTTACAGAGAACTGGCTTCTTGTCTTTGTTGCTGAAATCATAAAGTGTAATTCTGTGCATCGTAGAAATCAACAGTATTTACATGTTGCTATTTTAGGCCAGAAAGATTCACATATGTATGAAAACATGATAATTCACTGAACAGTCAACTGTGTCAACTGAGCATCATGTGTTTCTTAATATATAAACCTCATCATCTAGAAACAGAACTCTAGCTCCATAAGACATGAATTTTTACAACTTTGGTAAAGAACTTCTTCAGTCTACTAAGCATCTAGTTTGTCTCCAATTTCTAAGGAATAAAACTGATTTTTAAAACATAAACTACCCTTTTTTTAAGTATGATCAACTACCCTAGAATCTGAACCTACATTCAGGATAGACAAATTTCATAATTTTGGTGTAGGGCTCAAAGTAATTTTCCAGCACAAATGCAGTTTGTCAGCTATATTTCCATAGGTAAAGAAGATTCTCCAAATCTGGGACCTGAACCATGGATTCAAAGGACAAGAATTTCAAGGAACTGGTGGAGGACTAACTCCTAAAAATATGATCTACCCTGAGGTTTGCAACCTGGATATAGAGGTCATAATTTTCAAAATATATATAGAAGGCTAACTGCTCTTTATAATCATATTAAACTGAACTCGAATTCAAACACTTCATGGAGATGCTTTAATAGCAATATGACTAAAATGGCCTTGTCGTTCTTGAGAAAAGAATTTTTTAAGGATTTAATTCCTCTATACATGCATAATGTAAAATGTGATACCCGATTTTAGTCCCATCCTAGCTCCAGGATCCATAATTTGAAAAAAAAAATGATTTAAGTGTGGCACTGCTATTCTTAAAGAGATCTTTAATTTCCTATGTATTCACATTAAAAATCTGATGGCCTAACATAGCCCAACACTAAACCTTACTTCCAGGAACCTCAATTTGAACAAATTTGAAAATGCACTTCCTGGGGATATCTGCATAGTATCAAGACTAATCATGACTTAGCCTTTCTTGAGAGCAGAGCTGCCAACATCCTAAAATGAAGAATCCTAAGGAGGAGGTCCAGGGGCCACCTAGGCCTCCAGCCTCTGGATATTTTCATTTGTTTAAAATGATTTTGGTTGTAAGTTAGCATAGAACTGGACAATGACAATACAAGCAAGTGCTGTAAAGACTATGACTTTTTTTTATTATAACAGTGAAAACTTAAGGTGGATATCTATGAAAATACTGGTATTGCAAATTTTTGATGGAGAAAAATGGAAACTGTATGGATAAATAGATAAATCGTAAAGTATATTTTCGACACTCAAACTGTAAGCCTTATGCAAAAATCGTGAGGGTTGGCAGCTCTGTGAGAAGATGACTTTTAAGAATTTTTCCCTAAATATTCATATATATTGATCCCCTGAATGTGGCTCCCACTCTATCCCTGGGGACTATGATTTAAATAAACTTTAATCTGCACTATCTGAGGATGCTTGTGAATAAATATCATTTATGAAGGCCCAACATTTTTGAGAGGAAGATTTATAAACATTCTTTCCTATATATTCCAATGTAAAACTTTGATCCACTATTGTGGCCCCACTCTACCCCCAGGAGCCAAGATCTGAACAAACCTGAATCTATACTATGTCAGGAAGCTATCAAATAAGTTTCATCTTTCCTGGCTCAGTGGCTTGTGAGAGGAATTTTTAAGACTTGATTACTGTATACTGGGAAATTTTTGCCCCCATTTTATTTTTCGCCTGTTTCGCCCTACTCACAGGTGGGCAAATTTGAAACGGGGCAAATTCAAAGAACACAGTATAATTTCTTAAACAGAATTGTAACTGGTAATGGCAACTGGGCGAATTTAAAAAGGGACAAAATTGTTTGCAAGTTTGAAAGGGCGAATATAACACAGGGCAAAAATAACACTGTATGCAGTATTTCCCCTTCCAAGAGGTGTGAATAAAACTTGAATCCCCTTTACTAAAGGATGCTTTGTGTCAAGAATTCAGCGGTTCTGGAGAAGAAGTAAAAAATTGAAAAGTTTACAGTGATGACAACAATGACAATGACAATAATAACAATGAATTTTTATCAGGAAAGCTCACTTGAGTCTTTGGTTCAGGTTAGCTAAAAATGGAAATGCACAATGAAGCACATTAACAGATAGCAGTGTCACTTTAGTGTACCTTTGTTCCTGTGGCTTAACATACCTTGGAATTTTTTCGGTGTTGAAGACCTATTTTGCAGTGAAAACTTTAGTTTAGCAGGACTTATCAATGGTCTTTTCTCCCGGAGGGCTTTAGCTACAGACGAGTTTGAGTAACTAGGAGCATGAATAGAATTTGTGAAGGAGCTGCTGAAAAGTCCTGCAATGACAGCAAAGAAAATGATTAAGGTAATCCTGATAAATTTCAACTACTTATAGTAAATATATTTTTTTTGTCCTTTCATTTTTCATACAAATAATTTGAAATTATACACATAAAATTGTTGTATATGTACTACCTTTCAATTAATAAATAAATGTCTTTGTACTCTACTAAACATATAAAACAATAACACCCATATATTGTGGTTTTAAGGGAATCCTACCATTTTGTCCACTACTTCCAGGCTGTCCCAGTGACACAGCTTCCAGCTCAGACAGTGTATCATCCAGATCAGCCTGGTCTTCCTCCACGACCTCTGACCTCTCCTGGTCTCCAACCTGACTGGCTGAGTACAGCACAGTGCTTTTAGACGTGTCAGAAGGACAAGATGAAGACTTGCTCACGTCCAAGGAAAGCCTGAAAAAAAAAATCATTCCTAATTTTAAAAACACTTGAAAATACTTAATGTTTTTAATCCAAGTCATTTCAGCTGAATCATCAGTCTACATTTCTATACTTTTTAAAAAACTGATTCCATTGCTTTCACAAAAAGTCTGGCATTTTTTTCAAATAATCATACAAATGTACAACTTGATTCACCTAACAGAGAGAACAACATCCTATTTCACTCTCACCATTACATTGATATATACTAATACTGGCTGCTGTTCCTAATTTCACTCTATTACCTTTGTATACTGTTCTGATTTCATTCTAACTATTACCTTTGTATACTAATACTGCATGCTGTTCTAATCTAGATATTACCTTCGTATATTGATACTGGGTGCTGTTTTGGAAATCCTGCAGGATGTACAACACAGAGATGAAACCACTAAATTACTAAAGAGCAGCACAGGCTCAGCCTTTACAATGACAGGTATACCAGTGTTTTCCTGTTGCATAAAGAGAACACTGAGCCACAATGGGATCTGTAAGGTATCCGAGAGAAGGAGTCTGAAAGTAAAAGAAACAAATTAATATTAAGTGTACACTTCCGTCAGGATTTTCCAAATTTCTAAACCCATATCATACCTCTAATAATATAAAACATATCTTGATAAAAATTTTAATGATTTTTAAAAGTTTAAAATTTCAAGACACTATACTTTTGGAAAAGTTTCCCTAAGAGTCATATTTACCTGTTTTTTCCTACTGCGATTTTACCAATGATACTTGATATTAAACCAACCATTCCAATCAATTTCCTATATTCGTTAATGCTGACTACGCATTGTCTTAAATATTCACTGAGTCCTTGATATTCCCCGGGGTTCGAGACACTGCTGAGGTAGGCAAAGAAGAGAAGAAGACTGCACACTGCAGAAACAGCCTCCATGACACGCCCAACTATCACAGCGCTGTGGACAGACCTTTCTGGAATCTGTTTACAAATAGAAAAAATATGTCCTCATATGAAAGTTAAAGCAATCAAACTGAAAATAAACAACAATAAAAATAATCAGAAAAACTATACAACATATGTCTGAATAAATCCACTTTAAACATTAAACAATTTAGATTTTTAATGACACCATAAGTAATTAAGTAATATGTAAAAGCACAAAGATTCTCCCTGAAGCAGTGTTACTGCCCAAGGCTGCCAGCTGGAGTCCATTCTCACACCAGATATGGTGTCAAGTCAAAATATGTGCGAGTATTGTCTGAATGTCCTGTTAATGATTATAGACTCCAAATTGAAAAGGCTGGATGTGTCTCTGGATACAATAAAACACCTGGTGTATGATGTGAATTTTATAATAGTAAGACTTTCTTTGTGTGCACTCTGCTATTCAGAGACCACAGAAATAAAAATTTAAAGATAAAATTGGAAGGGGGGGGGCATTACTTGTATCTGAGAATCATCTGTTGGCAATGGTGAAGTTTCACTGTAAAAATTATCCAATTTCTCCTGCAAAAGTTCATCCTGTTTGAACAGTTCTTTGTTAACCACAGCCTGACATTCTGGGCAAAGTTTATAGAGCTTCTCTAAATATCTCTCAAACTCTGCTACTTCTGTATCAAAGTTGGCCTGAAAAAGATATTCATAATAAAACAAAGGATCCTATCAGAAATTAGCAGAATATGATAAATGACATTGATTAGAACTATTTCTTTAATGATCAAGTACCAATGCTAATCATTTTTCAGGTATCTCTGAGGCCATCCTAAAAACATATTTCAGGACTTTCTGAGGCAATATCCTAAAAAGAAATTTGTTTGTTTGGAAGTCCTGTCTTGGAGTTTTCAGACCAAGGAGGAAGGAAGGAAACTTTTTCTTCAAGACTGAAGTTAACTAAAAACTAGTGAGGAAAAATCTCAATAAACAGTGGACATTATTTTCTGACTTTCTGTAAAAAGTATCTCCCATCAACCAAGAACTCTGTTTTTGCTTAGAGCTGATGCATATCATTTCAGTAGTGCATGTGATAACAGGCCAAGAATTGATTAAATTAAAAAAAAATTCTTTGGTAAATAATTTTTTTTCAGAAGGGTCATACCAATGAGGTGGGAGGCAATTCAAAACAATCAGTAATTTCATTTTGGCCTGATACTGATAATTGCTGTCAAGCTTTTCCTTTGAATGTTTTGAATTCTATATTTTTCAGCTATATGGATTTGATATACAACTTATGTGTTTAGATCTGTACCTCATTCAATGGAACAAAAGCAGCCAGCTGTTTGGTTTTCAACAGCTGATTTCTGGAACACTTTTCACACAGGACATCAGTTTTGCTGATGAAATCACTCTGCACACAGGATACAGGGTGGTTCAGATCTCCATTGTATTGAGTTGGTATTGGTTTGTTGTAATCACCATCCTATGTAGAGCACAAAATAAACATTTATTTAACTTATAAGATCCAAATTTTTAAAAATTTTTTAGTCATTTAATACAAAATTCTCCTCTCATAATACATACTTTGACTTTAAAAAAATGAACAAGTTCTTTCAGCATTCCTAGGATGTGATGAAAGATACTTTGACATGCATAACAATGTTTCTTTCTATCTGCCTGCCACCTTAAGTATAGTAATGTGTGAAGAGGGTTGAGTAATGTTTGTTGGTGTTTTCAGAACTGTGAATTTTATTTCAGAAGGACGTGGACCTATATAACACGGTATAATAAATTTCCTTCTTTGGGTAATCCCTTACAAAAACAATCACAAATACTGATACAGTTTTTAGTCAACTTTAGGCAATAGCATTTCATTGCTAGACAAAAATCAAAGATACCTGATCAGTCTATGATCATCAAAATTGACACTTTATTTGGGACTATAATGAAAATGTACAAACCTTATTAAAACCATTATACTGCTGGCAGGAAGGACAGTCCCAACAATTCCTGTTACCATAAGGAACAACTGTATCAGTGCAACAAAACCAACAGTTCACTCTCACAGGGTAACGAGGCCTACAATATTTGGCAATCATATTATCATAAACAATTCCTAGTTCGTAATTTATTTATTTCTTCATCTTTATTGCTTAACGATTTTGTATCAATATCTGCAGAGATGTAAATAACAGATTTGCAAATGTTCAAAATCTTGCGATATTTCACAGGCACTATTCTTGACTTTTTTTCAAAGTTTGAACTGTTTAAATCGCTTAATTCTGTTAAATGATCAAGGATAATGAATATAGAGGTGTCCCCGAATTGCACATAGAGTCAAGAGAGCAAATTTGGTGCAGTTTGTGTTCACTTTAGATTATCCTTGCAATTCCAGGACACCTCTACAAAATACATTGTTAGAAATCATCATTTTCATTGCTTTCAAGTATTAAGGAGTTTTTGGTTCACTGCATTTTAAACAGCATGTGCAAATTGATAGATGATAAGAGTGGAGTCATTCAATGATTTTCAAGGCTAGATCAAATCAAAATTGGTAGGAAGAATGTAGATACTGATTAAAAGTGTGAATCAAGGTACTCCCTAGAATCCAATGATGAGTGTCTTTGATTTTTTTTATGTACCTGGCACCAAGACCATAAACTGAGAATAGACTTCAGTCAAAATTTAGATTTTGATTATCTTTATTTATCAAAAATGTTTAGAAAGTTGCAGGTTCTAAAAGAAATGTTGTAACAATCATCATGATTGTTAGACATTCCATCTGGAATAGTTTGTTTAACGTGTCAAATGCAACATGATAGTAGATCATATTCAAACGTCATCTCAGGTTGTATGTCATATCAGATGTCCCCTTTTTAAACACTATAAAATGTAATGAACATATTATTGGATCAAAGTTTTTAGAAAAGAGAAAACCTGTTGAAACTTCAAATACTGTGAACCTATTGAAGACTAAAAAAAAAATAATTAGGGAACTTTTAATTCTTGTTATTTTTTTTAGATTGACTTATATTGTGGGTCCGTAAAATTTGAAAAGTTTGGAGCCCACATGGCCCCTACCGTTTCACACATTAACCACAATCTTGATAAAATTTAATTACTTTGTACAAGGATGTTGAATTTTTTTTTTTAATTATTTTCAAAATACATTCAAAAGTTACACTAATTTGAAATTTTAATCTCAGTTTATGGCATTGGAGCCAGATGTAGCATCAGAGGGGTGACTTTTAAAAACAATATTTTTCTTCAGATTTTGGCTGATGTTCATAGAAAATATGATATTTTTAAAAACTGCTAATTTACGCGATTTTTATTTTAAATTGTGCATTTCGACAGAACACCAAGTGACCTATGTCTGTCTCAGCAGAGACATCTGATATGTGGGATAATCGCCTTCAGGGGAAAAACTTCGATATTTACCTTATATACTTATACACAGCAAATGACATGAGAATAATGATCAGGAAAACCGCTAATAATATGAAGTTCATGCTGTAATGGGATTGCTGCATAGCACTGGTGACTATCGTCTATCCGTTCGATCCACAACCACTGACATTAAACCACATGTCAGCGCGAAAAACAATATTCAAGTAATGAATTCCGAACCCGACGTTATTTCCATTATAAGTGCACCAAAATTCGAGAGGGGGGTTGTTACTCTTCATGGACAGACCGCTTTTTCTTCATATATAATAATATATGCATGACTCTTACTTATAACTAGGTAATACGTGGTTCCTGGGGGTGTCTTTTTTGTGGATATTTTGCTATTTAAAATAAAATTTCATGAAATCTTTAAATATCGTTGGGGTACGTTCAGACCCACACCTAATCCGAGATTTCTCTGACTCTAGCTCAGTAGCTGCTTTTATTTTGTGACATGTGCAGGGGAAGCCGGTCGCATCCCCCGCACACGTCACGATATAAAAGGAGGGGGTGAGAGTCAGAGGAATATCGGATAAATCCCCACCCTACTCCGTGTTATCAACATATTTCACCTCTGGACAGTGAAAGTGGTCAGAAATGGTGGTGATGGTGGTGGGGTTGGATGGGGGGTTGGTGTTCTGTTGTATAAACTGAAGAACTGTATTGTATATGATCAAATAATAAAAGATAAAAGATTATTTTTATACCACTCTTTTTTTTATTTTAGGCATACAGTTTTTTTTTATTTTAGGCATACATTTCCAACGCTCGAGACAGCATGTTATTCAGTGCACTCTTCTCCGGCCCAGCATTCATCAGTTCATCTTATATTTACGCCAGATTATTCCAAATATTCTTACTTATTATATGATTGAATAATTCCTAGATCTCTGATTGTCTGAAATCAACATCGTAAAAAAAAAAAAAATACTACGTTATGTTCACCTCAGTGCACATGACCTTCCAGGTGAACACAAGATTTTTTTTTTCTACATTGGAATAAATATAGATTGAAACTTCCAAATCAATACATTTATATTATAGTTCTGAAAATTTCCGCTAAGGCACATAGAATCAAGGGGAAGGGGGGGGGGACTCTCAACGTATTTTTTTTACTATAGTTTGGTATAAAAATGTCTATTGAAAGGCTGTTTGCTACACACCCCTACCCCCCAAAAATATTTTGATACAGTATAGTCAAATCCCTCCTACGTTGATGGACCCTAACCCCTAGCCCGAAATAAGATTTGGAGTTTGGAGAACTCTCTTTTTGGGGCTAGCTTGGTCAAAGATTTTTTTCAGGTAAGTTGTCATTTTTTTTTTCTTATAAAGCCCGTCCCCCTTCTTTAATATCGATTCTATGTGTCTGACATTTTTTTTTTCTACATCGCACCAAAATAGATTAAAAAAAATTCCAAAATAATACAACAGGTAAAGTTGATTTTTACTCCGCTTCTCTCGCTGCATTCGGCTTGGAATAATTTGTTTTACGAGTTTGTATCATTTAATCATTGAATCATATATTAAAACAAATACTGCTGTTTTTAAGGTCAACACGAAGATTTAGCCACCTTCGAAGTAAAATATTCTCCTCGCCCTTCGGGGTCGGTGAATAGTGTACTCTTCAAGTGGCTATTCATCGTATTGACCTCAAAAACAGCAAACTGCATGTACAATAACATGTGAAGTTATTTGTATGTGAAAGTGTGTTACTGTACATTTAGCATGAATTATTTAATTATGTAATGTTACCTGTGGACTAAATTGAGAGTATACACAAGTTAGACAAACAAAATTTACAAAAGCAACTGAGAAAACAAAAACAAAACCAAACTCAAACCAAACACGGGGGTGGGGATGGGGAGATACGCTCTGATTTCGTACTCTAGCTCAAGAAGCAAAATTTATTAAAAAAAAATCTCTACATGGAAAGAAGTCTCTTGTTGTGGCCTTCAGTTAGACATTTAGATATATATCGACGACGTTTTATCAATTATAATTAACACTGTTCATTTTGATATATCCCATAATACACAACAGAGCCCGATACATCTGTTTCAAATTTTGATAGCTTACAACTAAAATTTAGATATGATAAAGTTCAGATAAACCTGATGACTTCGAATTTTCTTCAACTATTGTCAGCTTCCCTATTTTCGCAATATACATGTAAACCATTAGCCTGTATTAGTGTTTATGTTTCCCATTTGATTAGATACGCAAAAGCATGTTCTATACGTATGAACAATTTTTAAATCCAGATAGACTTCTTATAAAAAAGTTGATGATACAAGGGCATTAACAATCTCGTTTAAAGTCAATACTTCACTAATTCTTTGATCAAGACAGTGACCTTGTTTTGCAAATATAATCTATTGTTAGGTCGAATGTTGACTGCATGACGTTTTTAATTCATATTATTTGTCCGTTACTTTCAGACAGATCTAGAATTCTTTAAGGATAACTCTGTTTACCCGATCAAGGCAGAGTTCATGACGAGTGTGACCCATTTCGAGAATTATTTCCAGGTCCTACTTCAGTGTACGAATCGTCCTTTCTGAGCAAATTGAGCAGTTGATTTCTTTTGTGATCCACACCAATCGTCCTATTTCTGGTTATAAGCTGCCATACACTATGGGTAAACCTATGTCGTTGGTATCATTAAAGGGTTTTTATCACGTATCTAAATTTCTTAAAAATGAAACACTATTATATTCTTGAAACATATTATTATCGTTTAATTATGAAATAATGTTGAAAACGGCCGTAATTAGACGATAAAACGCCCGTAATATAGGGTCCTCGAAGTAAAAATCTCCACTAATTAGATAGGGGTCACGTGGTACTGAAACGTCATAGGTGTCAATGGTCAATAGAACTCGTTAAAGCTTATCGTAAGAAAAAAATACATTGAATAGATTTTTACGCTAAATAAATAGAATACACAGTATGGCCGATTGAAATTTTGACATAGACTATATTCCTTTGGTTATGGACGGTCAATCTTTTAGGTATGAACGTCTAGCAGAGAGAAATAACCCGAAAATATGCCGACAATTGGAGAGAGGTCACCGAAGACGAAGCCGTTGACAACTCAGGACTTCAACTAAATAGAACGAATTACTAAAGTTTAACTTCGTAAACATTTATAAATATGGGAATTTTAAATTCTCCTTCATTATTATTTAAATTATTTTAATTAATTATAAATAAATAAATCCTGTATATCTTCTATTAGCTCTAGCAGTGAATATCATGTACTAGAAATGACACTTCTTCAATGGTGCCGTACGCCATTACGAAGTTCACAACATTCCTACTAGATTCTGTGCGACTTTTAAAAAAAATGCGTGTTTGTCATTTATTATTTTTTTTAAAAGTATCTTTCCTTAAAATATTTTATAGGACAGAAAAAAAAATCGTGATCGATCGGGCATAAACGATTGTTCTGAATGGAGATAAATGCCATCGCATTTGCAGAGAAAGGCCCCCCTTTTATTTCTCGACCAAGTCCATGAAATGTGGGGAAAAAATTCTTCCTAAAACCTTTCTTATGCACATTTGTGCACCATAAAGCCATAAATTATACCTTACAAGTTGTCAATTATTCAATTATCATTTAGTTATTTTCTAACAGGTTTAAAAGACACAACAAATGAGCCCTTTTGTATACACAATAAGTACTTCGCTTGACCAGGATTGACACCTATGACGTCAGAGCAATGGCGCGTAACATCGGCGATCAAAATATGCATATTGAGAAATTCAAACTTTGAATCGCTGAAACATCAAAAATATTAATTTTCTAGCAAAGATTTTTAAATATATGATTTTAATAGCATGTAAACTTTGTCATATCAAAAAATTTTGAAACGTGATAAAAACCCTTTAAGTGGAAATTCATCATAGTTTACCTGTTTTGTGTGATATGTGTATATTGTGTATCTAAGGAAAACTTTTTTGTGCATCTTAAAAGTATGGTACATTGTTTTTGTCATAATCATTAAACACAAACGTACGTTGATTACATTTTCTATGAAAAATCCTTTTTGTCAAAAACTTTACGTTTGAATTTAATGTTTTTTAAAAGGTTCATTGTCCGAAAAAATAAATTGACATATTCTTCATTAACTTACTTTTAAGGGGTTTGTCACTAAATCCTTAGATTCAAGATCAAGGTTATTTATTACAGTAAGGGTTGCAACACATTTATTTTATTAAATATCAAATCACAACTCAAAAAGTATGTTCATTGTTTATTAGCTGTATATAACATCAAAATGTACAGAACACAACAACCAGACAACAATAGTAAGCACGGAATAAATGCCATTAAATCCTGATCTGTATATATAATGTTCTACAAGCACATGTCTGTTTGTTCAGTGGATACAAGTTTCAAGTTTCCTTAACCCGACTGGCTCTTTAGAATAAGAAATGCATGTTATTAAGACGAAATATACAGGAGAATGAACGTTAAACTAGTGTTACACTTCAATATTTTTTTTCTTCACAATGTGGCAGCATTCAAAAATTTGACCAAATTTAAAAGAACTTTAACATTGTAAGTACTCAGCAAATGAATTAATGCAAAGACACTGGGCTCAGTACTTATTAAAAAAAAAATCTTAAGTCATTATACAATGGGCATTTAAAAATACATGTGTAAAATGAAATGCAATAAATAATAGTAACTAGCATCAATAGCGAATCGCAACATGAGGTAGCCATTACCTAGTTTGCAAGCTTACATCAAATAGAGTTTATCTCTGCAAACATGTATATTATTTATAATGAATATGAACAAGTACATAAATAATATTCATGTACAATATTTGTGATGAATAAACTTGAGTAAAAAATTTAGGGTAGTCACTAAAGTCATGCAGGTACTGCTCGCGTTGCATTTATTTTGGTTAACATGAAAAGTTCACTCGAAATGCACGTTTTATGCAATGAACAATTGCTAGAATAAGTGAAAATTCATGTATTATTTGTTTTCTGGTTAAAAATAGGCTTTGGACGGTAAAACATTTTTCAGACGCCTGACTCATCGTTGACTTTGCATGCATTTACAAATTAACGTACATGCATGTACTTGCTATTATAACGCATTACTGCACTTTTCTAAAGCCTTTTTCCCAACAATTTTAACTTAACTAAAAAGTTGGAACAAACTTAAACCAAAATAATGCTTAATTGAATCGATGTAAAGAGCATGGGCGAATTAGGCGTGGGAAATGTCTATAGCTTCAAGTGTATAAAAGTAAAATTCAATTTCTGTACCAGGTATTTAGAGCAGTTTTTATTACTGAAAAGTGGCAAGCAAAATTCTTCGGCGGAAAATTCTCTAAGCAAAATTTTTTTTTCTATGGAGAAAAATGCAGTTTTTTCCGAGCGATAAAAATCCTTAGTGTCATTTTTTTTTCTCATAGAGACTGACACATTAACCACTTCACCACACAATACAAAACAGGTACTGGCATTTAAATCATGTTTGTCCCTTGAATAACTGGACTTCAAATATTTTCTCCATATTTTGTTAACCAAAAAATGTATGTATTTTTATGGATACTTTGAAGATATACTTTCCAAAAAATGGAGCGAAGACCCACTCATATGCAAAAAAAAGTGTTACAATATGAAGAAATGATTATCTTTACCCTCTTTGGTTTGTGCATGCTATTTCATAGTAGAATAATTTCAACATTTGAGAGATTGTTGCAAAATGTGAAGATTTTACATAAAAAAGTATACATTAACGTTAACTGAGATATCAAAGAAAAAAAAAATTGCTAAAATTGAAACTAATTTTTCACTTTCTTATTTGTCCAACCATTTTTCTCAGTTTATTCTCCAATTTTCTTTTTCTAATTATTTGAAAAAAAGTCTTGACATAATCTCCAGTGAGCCACATAGCCTCGCAGATGAGTGTATAATACTGATTAACTAGCAATGAGTTAAGTTCCTTATGCCATTTGACTGATTCTTTCCTCCTCCAGGGCTTCTGGTACAAAACCTAAGGGAAGTAATTCCCCAGTCTTCATCAGTTTGTAGGAATCATCAGGCTTGGTCATATATACATTCCAGTCTGTTCCAAACTGAATAATTACATTAGATCATTTATCATACCGTGAAGTGTATACAACAAAATGTATATAATGAACAGTGACCAAATTCACAATCATGGTCACAAACAGTAACTATGAAATCTATTATCTCAATGAATTAAGGAATAACTGTCTAATTTTTTGAATTCATGATGTGATCAATCGAGTGGCTTGCGTGATAATTTGCATAAACGCCGAAGGCGTTTATGCATAAAATTATCACGCCAGCCAATCGATTGATCATCGCCATGAATCCAAAAAATCTGACAGTTATTCCTTATATTTACATGCTCCTGATTCTGCAAATTCCCGTGCTAATAGCCCCGCTTCTGTCTCTATTTGTCCCGCCCCGCACGTGATTTTTTTTTAACCGCGCCTATCGATGAACCAGTAGATTTATGTAGAAATAAAGTATTTTTACAATTTGTAATTTTATCTCGGACAAAGACATTGGAAATGTAAATATTATAATATACAATAATTTTTTCTATCAGTGTAAATTTATGAGATTCTTATCGAGTACATGTATAATGCAGCATAATCGAAATTCGGACAATAGTCTTATTTCAGCAGCATGCTGAATGTCCAAGACACGATTCAGTCACGATATCGATAACAGGTTAGATTTTTATTTTGCTACTGTGTTTCGGTACGTATGAATATTTCTATTTGTACACTGAGATTTATAGATTTTTATTGTCCTGCTTGTTTTGGTATATATAAATATATATAAATATATATAAATATAAATATATATACATATATATATATATATATATATATATATATATATATATATATATATATATATATATATATATATATATATATATATATATATATGAATATTTCTATTTGTACAAATTAGATTTTTTTGCTGCTGTATTTCGGTATCTATGAATATTTCTATTTGTATCAACGTCTGCCTTACTATCGATACCAACGATATAATATCGATATAGAATCATGGTCTTTCAACAGATGGTGGTTATCGATCTTAATACTGTATCTTTTTTTATGTGTGTTACTTGAATACTCTCTCTTTATGAAATTTTCCTAAGTTTCGATATCAACAAGATATAGTTTAGATATCGAGTCGCCATGGTGCTTGTTTGTTAATAACGTCCAGCTTCTGCGTTTCTTTGTACTTGTGTGTATATTTAATTACCCCACCTCTGATGATTTTTCGATGAAATCCTTGCTTCCGATTGGTTGAAGTCTGTCACGTGAAGGGGGTGTATTACCTATACCTAGTCGCTTGAAAATCAATACATGGTTGATGCGGAGTTATCGTTCTTTTGTAACAATTCAAACAACTCGAGTTTACGAGGTTTGCGGGTGTCTGTTGATAAGTAAAAAGTTAATCAACCTAAGTAACGAGATGGAACCTTTTTCTCACTTTACTAAAAGTCTTCGAAACTGTCAGTACGTTATGAAACACTCGCAAAACAACATTACGTCACACAACGTGACGTCATAATGGGCATTGTTTGAGTGATGAAACATATAGCGGAGAAAAACAATTTTACAAACCACAGACCATAAACATTTCATCGGTGGGGTAAATTCGTTACATAGTTTTGTAGTGACAGGGTACGGGATGATACCTGGTTAGTAAATTTCATACCTGGCTCGGCTTCGCCTCGCCAGGTATGAAATTTACTAACCAGGTATCATCCCGTACCCTGTCACTACAAAACTATGTAACTAATAATACTTTCCCTTTACGACTTTTGCCTCGCTGTCGATATCTACGATATTGTATCGATATTGTGTCATGATCGTTCAGTAGTTGCATGGTCACTATCTTCCTTGCTGCTCTGTTTCTTTTTACTTGTGTTTGGTTGAATATTTTCCGTCCAAGAAGCTTGCCCCGCCGTGGATATAATTGATATCGACGATGTCATCTCTTAATTGCTACTTTGCTTCTTTTACCATCTAACCTAAACTCTAATCCTCACCCCAAGCCTAACCCCTAACCCTATCCTTAACCCCAAACCCTAACCCAACATCATTTACTTAACCCTATTTGTGACATCCCAGTTTATTTACCAAAAAAAAAATAAATCTCAATATCGATTACATTTCAACATCGTACTGGTATTGTAAATGAATTCTTTAACTTGAAAAACAAAAGTTACATATTACGATCAATATCGATACAATGTCAACATGGCACTAGTCTTGTATATGGTACTTACTTCGATTACAATATGTACAGATAAGGATGGATATCGATATGACATTGTCGATATAGTCAATATTATTATCGAGATCGCACTCGGTCTTGGACATGTATATAATTATGGTTATCTGTTCTTTTTCTAGATTATTAATTCTAATTCCATTACAGTGATATTTCAATGGTTTTATTTTGCCGCTTGATCAAAAATTCAATCTTTCAGGGGAAAATTTACTTTTATAAGAAGATAATTTAATGAAAAATTAATTTATCATTAAGTTCAACATTCACTCTTCAGGACTAAGAAGAGTTACACCAAAGTATCTAAACACACCTTAAATGCTTGCATCATAGCTCTGTATCATGCATTGTGAAGGACTTGTTTACACACGAGTGTGCCTTACTGTGAAAACCATGGCTTACCTCAACCATAAACTGTCTACAAGCCCCACAAGGTACTATGAAAGAGGTCTTCAAGTCACTAGAAAAAAAGAGGATGAATGGTTTAAAAACTTTTTGATCGTCTCTCCTCGACATTCAGGTATCATTTCATCATGTAAACATTTTTAGATTTTACGAAACTTAAAGTTCTTAATATTTCATATTCATGTACGTTTCTGCATGAGAGAATGCCATTGTATGTATGTATGCATGCTGAGTTTAATATTTCAGACACACTATACAAAAGATTATAAGGATGGTGCACTTGAGAGACTATTAGGTTTTCAAATAGAATGATTGTTCCTTTTGCTATAGTTAAACGGTTAAAAAAAATTAAGTAATACATACATACATACATACATACATACATACATATATATATATATATATATATATATATATATATATATATATATATATATATATATATATATATATATATATATATATATATATATATATATATATATATATATATGCAATTTCGTTATTTTCATCGAGTATTAAACATTTAAGCCGTTGCAAGTCAATACTTGATGATATCCTTTTATCTTCAAAATATTATTTCAAAGATCGTACATAAAAGCTCAAAGACAAATTCAAATAAAAAGGTATATAGCTGGAGCCGCATCAATTTCTAATTAAAGAACAAAAATGCCTGAGAAGATAAAAACAGTCCGTCATATTTCTACTTTTTTAATGACCTGATTATATAACGAGGAATATGAATTAACAAGCAGTTAAATTACATCAATAAAGTCATGCAGTATTTGATAATACTTTATTTTCATGTTGAATCTGATTCTGATTCGCCGAGAACTATTAGTATTTTCAGAAAAATACTATTAACCTCTGAATGATGAAACCACACCCTCCAGCTAGAGAGAACGTAGTAAGTCCACATTGCTTGACGAGGGTGTATTCCAAAAAATGTTGACTGCGCAGTATTTATGCGCATAAAGTTCACTATTATGTGCCTCCATTCACGCTAGTTTTCTTGGGGTGAAATTTTTATTGTTATATATCTTTAAAGTATCTTTAAAAATTGTTTCCTATATAATTTTATACTAAAGAGGCCGATGTTTTACTGAGATGACCAATATATATATATATATATATATATATATATATATATATATATATATATATATATATATATATATATATATATATATATATATATATATATATATATATATAATTTGTATTGACCTTTAATTATTTTTTGGGGGGTGGGGTGGGTTTCGATTGCATCCGCTTTCTTTTCTTTAGATCACATCACGCTCCTCTACAGTGACATACAGGAAATGCATTTTTATCTATCCCTGAATCAATAGGATCTTTGTGTGTGTGTGTGTGCTGTGTGTCAACTGCCACGTTCTGTAAGCACACTGTAACTGACACGTCACCTTGAGATGGCAATGGCTTTGAAACGTCTGTGGCCCTCTGATACCGCCTTTGTCAACGCTGTTCTTTCTGCACATATCGTTAACCCGTAGGAGGCATTCTCCACATTACAACCTAAAAACTTGCATAATCAGTAAACCCTATAGAATAATGTTGCCAAATATTATTTAAACGATTTATCATTACTTTGCATGCATCTTGTACGATATCATTTGAAGTTGTTTGTTTATTCTACAAACATAAGTAAAAGAAAAATGTTATGAAGGGCAAAAAAGATACTCGCACCTTGCAACATTTTATTACATAACTTAATGTTTACCTGTAATGACAGTTCCATCTTCACATAGCAGTGCTGCTCCAACCCTGAATTTACTGTAGGGACTGTAGGATTTCTTTTTCATATCATGGCTAGTCTTAAACAACTTCTTGATGCTCTCTGAATCTGTACAATTATAAGTGGCTGATTAAAATTTTGCAAACGTCATCCAAAAGGAGTGAAATAACCATGTACAAGGTATTATTTATTATATTTCTACATTAAGAATACAGTTTAGCTTCGGTATCTCGAAAACCGATATATCGAATACCATGGACATGTCAAGTGATTTTGAAGTCCCAGCCACATATATTCTTCAAGTATTTAACCTTTGATATCTCAAATCCTCTAATATCTCGGAGTTTTTTCTCGGTCCATCGAGTTCGAGATAACGAGGCTTGACTGTACTTGTATCGGCTAATAAAATAAATCTTAAGTTAAAGCTAGAAATATACGTCTCTTTTGAAAAATTTTTGAAATTAAAATTGATAAAAACAGCGTATTGAAATTACTTAACGTTAACTGACAATTTTATTTTGAAGTCAGATTGAAGTGTCTGGAATGCACATACTGGAATAATTTGTATGTGTTTATCTAAGCTAGCCCAGGAAAATATCCAGCCTTAATTGGAAAAGTTTAAGATCTGCAGAAAGACACGACACGGGGCGCTTTTATTTGACAAAACTGTTCTTATGAAAAAAATCATTGAACACTCAACAAAGTACAAATATCCCCGATAAGTTTCCAAAGAATTGCTCACAGTATCAGGGAACTGTATTGTAATATATCAGGTTAAATACCCACTTATCGGTCTTTTCTGGCAACTGGAGAGGGGGGGGGTACTGTGGATTAAGTATAGTAAATGAATCAGTTTGTCAGAATTCGCATGTGTATATTATATACATTTAATATGCACATGTTAAAACCAGATTTTTGAAATGAATCAATATTTTTATAGTGTTGAGACGGCTTTTCAAATTAACTTTATGAATATTACATCATACGTTTACATCGTCTGTATACGTAAAAATGTGTAGCGCAATTCTTCTATATATGAAAGCATGTTTTTCGAGCTACCACAAGTAGTACAGTTATCAATTCTAAAGAATTACTGCAAGAAATGTTGTCGTTTGATTGAAACCCCAGTCAAAAAGTAAAAAATACTAACATAGACATTAAAACTGATCATGCTTACCTGACATTTTCTCTACTTCTAAGTCCTCCATTCATATAGGTCATCTGAACAACCAATCAGCTTTCAGTATTTGTACACACCTTTCAAAAACGTAAACAAATAATGTTTACATCATGACTTCTCTAGATTGTTTTTTTTTTCATACAAAAGATTCGTCAACTTGCGTGTTTCAGAAAACATAAAAATATAAGCTTCATGTCTGATTTATTTGTGTGCTTGTATCTATATAACTAAGATCTGTATAATTAACAGCCATGCCGATCCTGTCCATCTGTGTTTGTTTTGTGTTTGGTCAGCTGCTGATAATTAAAGTAGCCATGGTTGCCATGGGGATAAGAATGATAGCGATTTAATACATACAGAGATATTGATCAGAGTAGAATGTTTTAGATGCAGATGAAATTCTGCGTACGTTCTGAAGACAACATCAAAGTTCTGCTTTAACTGTCTTCTACACTAACAATCAAGTATCCGCACACCAATAGAGAGACATACACCACAAGGATTTTTATTTCAGTCTACTTTAAAAATATGCTGGTGCACACCTAGATGAAGTCACTAAGATTAATTTTAAGAGATAATGCCATACTTTGTACACAACAGGACCAGACAGAGGACAATATTATTTTTCTTGTGTTCGACCAACTAAAAAAACTGATATTGCGACTTCTATAATTTTGAAATAAGACGCTGCATGATTTAAACAGATGCACATTACCGCACTCTTTATATTTGAATAGAAACTTTCTTTATCTTTGTAAAAGAACAATTACTACTAGGGATGGCAATTTGTAACCGGTTAATCGATTAATCGGTTGGAACGATGGTAATCGGTTAATCGGAAAAAAATAAAATATATTCAAATTTGAACGCAATTTTCTTAAAATTCATTTTTAGAAAGGAAACTTCAACACATAAGAGTTGATCATTTACAGTTTTTACACACCTAATAATTAAGCTTGTCAGGAGGTAATTATGGCTTTCTGGATTGGGATCGCGGCTAATTGGTCAGTTTGTGGTGAGTTAATCACTGATTTTAAAAACATCAAAACGTTCAACCAGACTATCCTGTAATCCTTTAATGATATTCAATAAAACAACGTAGAGCTAATTAGTTTGCCTTTTTTGCCGTTATCTTTTAAATTATAGTATTAGAAAAAGATTGGACAGTGAAAGTTCAGGCATAGTTGTGATTATGGTGTCAATGCAGATTGAACTTGTGTGTGCACTGGAAAATTATCTTTCTCAGGCAAAATTCATGTTTTTCTTATAATTTTTCTTGTCTATTGAAATTGAAATAAAAGATAGGTACATATTAAGTTTCCTGATCGAGATAATAAACAGAATATTCCTAACTTCTAGCGTCTTTATATCAGTCTTCTTGTGTATATGAAAGAGCTACTTGAAAAAATAGAATGTCAAAAAATGTGTATATAATATTACGATTAACCGATTAATCGGTCGGAACGTCTTGCGGTTAACCGATTAGCAATTCTGTAATCGATTGCCATCCCTAATTACTACATTTCAGTTTTTCAAGACAGGTGTCCTAATTTCAAACCAGGTACATTAATTCATACAGATTGTTATGACGTGAAATTTAGCCACATTCTTTGTAACTAAGAGAGAAACAAGAAGAATTGTTTAAGTACTGTACGTACTTACGTACTTGAGAAGTAACAATTAAAGATGAAGGGTGAGTCCAGAATACATATTTAAATCAGTAAAAGACATGTCCCAGAAACCTATATACAAGAGGCGATCAGCATAATAACATGGATATATCTACGTTTAAAAACATTAAAGTAGCCAAAGTATCCTTTCGCATACGAAAGTATTTTAATTAATCATTGAAAAACCTTTCAAATGAAACACGTGTACAAATTAAGGATCTTCCATTTCCACATCTCTTAATATTTATTTAGTGCATGTTCACATTACATATTGTGCATACTGAGTAGTAAAAGTATGTATATGTTATCAAAATAAAACGTGTGCAGCTTTTTTCTGGCAATAAGAATGATTTTCTCTGGTATGTTATCTTAACTATGTAACAAGAAAAGAACCACATCGTAAAAAACTTTTGCATTTGTCTTTGATATTTTGGAATACGGGGATATCCAAACAAATGGCTACATCTTCTATTGACAATTCCCCCAGCATCTTCCCAGCCTATTTCTGAATTGTTTCAATGTGTGTATTTTGTGGAATCATTTTCTGCATGTTGAGACTTCCGGATTTTGATGTCCTTTATCGTTTTACGAATGGTTTTTCCTTGCCTTCACAGATATCTCATACTTCACTAAGTGTTGCCGAAAATGAATATCTTTTTTCATTGTGCATTCATATAGATCTATTCAGCATTCTGGTAGATTTAAATGATATATTGTAATTGTTTATGTATCGCAATTGTATATCACAAATTTCCTTGCAGTTTACAAATTCATGTTGTGAGTTTATCAAATTTAGATCTATTTCTAGAACTGTGTTACAAATTTAACTCAAACTTTATAGACTTCTCATGTAGGGAGAGGGCGAAATAAGTTTTAATAACTTGTGCCCAATCCCATTGTATATATATTACAATAAAATCTCTGTCTTCTAGGCCTACTCATTATCACAAGAATCTTGTCGATTCAAATGTTTCAAGTAACTACTGCAGAGCTGTGGATTAAGTGCAATAAGCATGAACACCTCATTGCATGAGTATACCTTGCAAATAGGTGTAACATGGCACACTGCAAAACCCAATGACTTTCCAAATATCCTCACACAATGTGTAAGCTTAGCCTTTCCTAGGGAAGTGGCGGATTTAAAGGGGGGCGCACCCGGCGCGCACCCCCCCCCCCCTAAAATTGTCACAGCGTAAATCATACATGTAGTTTCGTCGAGAAAATGTAAAAATGTGTACTCGGTAGGCCTAATTTCTACCCTACAAAATCTCTAGAATCCAGGAGCTTCGCCCCCTGGACCCCCATCAGGGCTTCGCCCTGGACCAGCTGGGGGCCTCAAGGCGGCCCCAGACCCCCTGCCTACTTTTGGCGCCCCCTGAGGGCTCAAGGCGGCCCCAGACCCCCTGCCTACTTTTGGCGCCCCCTCTAACTTCAATTCCTGGATCCGCGCCTGTAGGGCTATCCATTTTCTTCTCTCTCGATTAGGACGGACCAATAATTCTCAAAATTCACGATGCCCTTCGTTGTGTGATATTTATTCTTCTCTTTTGTTTTCAAAATCATTTTAAATCATTTTAAGTCATATTGTAAACATGCATGTATTTGTTTTTAATATAATATATATCATATCCTTCCCTGGATGTTCCGATTTCGTTTGCTCTTTTCTTTGAGTAAAAGTGCAAATAACGTTTTAAAATTGAAAAACCGACCCAGATACAGCAAATTAGTTTTTTTAATGTTTAAAAATCTAACGTTTTGTACAAAATGACTCATCTAATCATATTACAAGACATATTTTAGCAAATCAAAACACTATATCGGTAAAATATTTCCCTTTCCTATGTCACAGGAACCCGATAATCAATAAAATACTAAAATACCGTGTGACGGATCAATGAATTTTTCACTTTTAAGTGCGCCCAACATATTTTATTGCAATTAATATATACAATGGGATTGGGCACAAGTTATAAAAAACTTAATTTGCCCTCTCCCTACATGTAGTATCACAAAAATTGAACAAGATGTGTCCAACAGTTTGTATAGAATGCATTAACTCACAGCATATAAATATATACTAGTACTGCTAAATTATTGTCTATACACATTTTATATATTAGGAGAACAATCACTGAATCTGCGAGAATGCTGAATATAAGAATATACAACAGGAAAAAGATATTCAGTTTCACCAATACTGAGTGAAGTACCCCCCCCCCCCCCCCATGTGGAGCATCATGGATGATCGTAGACCGGAACCAGGCTATATCTTGTTCTTTATTTACAAGTATCAGATCATGTGCAAGCCATTATATGTAATGATCTCCAATTTGAGCTTCATGTGTGACGCTTCCAAAGTATTCAGTCTGTATTTCGCAGATAGCTTAACCATACAACAATCGGTGCATAAATTTACCGTTAATGAACGGTAAAGAACTGAAACAAAACAAACCAGAAATCTCTAACGAGACTGTAGCTCTACTTGTATTTACTTAAAAAATGTAGAGAAAGGTAGCACTTGGACTTGAAACTGTGGCAACAGCAATAAATAATATAACGACCCTTGGTTTAATCTCTTTCTGAGTCAAGTTTAATTAAGTTGGACAATAACTGTAGTAAGAGTAACATTTTGAAAGAATTTCACAGAAATTTCTATTTTTAGTAACTATGGGAACACTTCAACAAAATCAAAAACCGATACACAGAATTATTTTCCTTAGTGTACTCTACTTGTTTACCAAGTTATTTTGTAATCGGATTAAAACTGTAGGAGGAGTAGCCTTTCAAAGAATTGTGGTCCCCCGCTTTCGGTGTTTTATGGGTGGGATGCCATAATTTATGGCATATTGTGTTAAATATGAACGCCCTATTACATGTCATTCAAAAGAAATCACCAGTTATTTTTTTTTTGTAAATTAGGTCAAACATGAAGGTCAAGGTCAAGGGGTAAAAAACATAGCATGCTCGGAAACATCTTGTCACGGGTAATGCATATGTCAAATGTAAAAGCCCTATCTCTTTTCAATCAAGAGTGATAAGGAAAAATAACATTTTTGAAAAGTAGGTCAAACTTCATGGTCAAGGTTACAGGGTTAAAAATCATAGTATATTAAGAAAGGTCTTGTCACAGGTAATATACATGTTTAATATGAAAGCCCTTCTTTTCTCTTTCAAAAGTTATGACCAATTTAAAGTAATGTTAAAATTTTTGAAAAGAAGGTCAATCTTCAAGGTCAAGGTCACGGGGTCAAAAATCATAGCATATTTGGAAAGGTTTTATCAAAGGTAATGTACATGTGAAGTGTGAAAGTCCTATCTTTTCTCATTCAAAAGTTATTCCCAATGAAAGGTTAAAATTTTTGTGACAGACGAATGAGATTCAATGTCCCCTCGGTTTCGCGAAAGCG